AAAGATATGCAAGGGCCGAATTATATGTTTCATGTCTTTAACCTATCAAAATTGTCCTATCCTGTTGCATCTGTCCAGGTGACTTTGTGTTTGTGTCTTTGTTTGAAGGTCTGACCTATCTTAGACAATTTTAGCTCATACATGTATTGAGGCGTCACCTCCTGAGCGACGGAGGACTGCACTTTGAGAACTAGGCACTTGGGGACTTTTAGAATTGAATGATCTATAACATGCGAGCACCTGTTGTAACATGGGACCTTTTTATCATATCATTCGATGGACATCTAAGTTCTAAGTTGGGCTGTAAGTTCTGTATTTGGATTTTAATTGAACCTGAGATTTCTTACTCCACGAATCTTGAGTGAAAGCTCTACTCACTGCACAAATGTTACTCAGACTACATTTATATAATAAAAATACTTAAATGTGTTTTATAGATTTGATACATGTAAGTACATTTGCAAATGTTGTCCTTTTTTATAGATCACTATTGAAAGCAAAGCGTATCTATGTAAATAAAGGTCATTCGAACGTCATAAACGTTCGACGTAATTTCTCATTGGCATCATAAAGGGTTGTCGCGCCATTGGGTTAAAAAAAATATAACATTTCACGAGTTAAAACTCACAATCAGATAAATGTAAAATATTAATGTCACAAGTGTTAATATAAATTATAAGTTATCATTAAAAACATCTACATGTATTGTGCTTTAATTACAGGGTTGGTACAAGTGTAATGGAATTTGATCTCGTGACCAACTCGTGTTTAGATCCTGGAAGATGTTTGAAAATGATACATATATCTTCTTTCTTTAATATATTACAAAGTCAATATGAAATAATGAAAACATAGAACAGCATTTTATCTTTATACTACTATGTCTTACAGGTACATTTTACTGAAAAAATGTATTTTAAAAAAAGATTGTAATACCGTAAAAGTGTAAATTTTAGCGAGACGCAAATTTAGCGATTTGTCCTTAAAAACTGGTAATTTATTTTTAGCGAGATGTTATTTAAGCGATTTTTAAAATGCATATTAAAGAAGTTTTTACAAATAAAACGCCATTAATTTTTAACGATATTCAATTTTAGCGATCTCGGCACCCTCGCTAATAATGCCAAAATGAAATCCTCGCTAAAAATTCTCCTTATACGGTATGTTGATTGAGACATATAGTGTATGTATTTTAAATGCATTTAACGAAATTTTTAAACTATTCTGGAACATTTTTATCTGTTGCTTTAAAGCACGCAAGCAAGATTTTTTTTTTAATTTGTTACTTAGTACCCTATTTTTTTTCTTTTCTGCAGAATTTGTGGATAAGGATTTGAAGCAAATTCAAATGAAAAATGTTTGATATGGTTTATCATGGAGTGTAGCCAATAAGACGGTTAGTCTATTAAATACTAAATCCTAAAATGTTAATGAAGAAATAAAAAAAATTAAATGTGAAGTAATCAGAAGCTTTTGATTCTTTGTCTAAAAATACACTTACATTATCCATTCACGAGTTTACTATCAAAAATCACATTTTGATATAGAATCATTTACTTCCCCACTTCTCCCTTCAATGGAGAATACTGTAATATCTCTTCGCCATCATTGAGTCTTGGCAATTCCATATATGTTGTCGATATTTTGATATACAAAAGCATCCTCCTCTTTTTCATACTGGTTATTAAATACGAATTCATTTTCATCATTATTTGCCTTCAAGCTTTTTGAAGATCTTTGGTCGTTTCTGCTCATTGGATGTTCAACGGGTAAATGAGCAAACACGGGTTCATGGTTCTGAAAAAAAAAATGTTTTTTAAAATTATTCTAAACTTAGGTGACAGGTAACAGGTGCCTTAGGTAACATATGCCTAGGAGGATTAGGCATTCCCTGATAATCGGTTACATCAGCCATAAGCCCTATTTGTTAATCATGAAGATGGAACATTCCATAGTTTAATTTAGTATAGAAAGAAAAAATGCTTAACAACTGATATGAAACTAGGCAGCTAAATTGCGACCCGATAGCTAGCAAGGTCATTAAAACTTCCTAATCGTGTAAAGTCAGCTTCATTGGAAGCAGATCAGTTAATTAAGAATTATAGTAAGTGACAAATGTTAAAAATCGATTAAAAATTGTTCCGCATCACCATTGAAAAATGTTTCCACAGTTAAGCCAAGCATTTACAGAGTGCGCAAACTGTAGAGGATATGAAAGACAAAAAACTTAATAATTTGTGTGATTGTCATAAATCTAAATGTCTGAATAAATCTGTGACGCATTATCATATGAAAGCCATGAACATCACACATAAAAAAGAACCAAATAAAAGTTTTATTATGAAGAAGGAATTGAATCAAATTCATAAATCCTGTTTAAATACGAATCGTGACTGAGATATAAGTCGGTCCGCCTATCAGTTAGTTGCATTTTTAAAGGTTATTTTGGAGGGATTTGTAATTTCATAAATTCTGGAGGAAGGGTCCCATCTATAAAAAAATTAGAGGACATCCATATCACCAAACCAATGGTTGAATTGGTGAGCTTATTTTGTGCCCAAAGAAATACCTTTTTAATTTGTCTAGCATCCCAAGTTTCGTCTAATAAATTACACGACTCGGACATATTAAAATGAGAAATAATATTTTTATTTGCGAAAAATATTAAAATGAAATTACAAATTTACAAAAATCATTTATTTTCATACGATCAAAACTTCATCTGAGCAGAAATCGTCAAAAACGAAACGTGCCTTATATTAAATAATTGTGTGGCAGCGGTGTATGAGTTAAAATGTGTGATTGAGGGAATGGGGGTTAAAAAACAGTAGTATTATATATCTTACCTCGATTACCTCACTTGTACGATGCGCAGTCGGACTGTTCTGAACTGCTTCAATATTGGTCCCGTATGACGTGTTGTTAAAAATTGTAGTATCTGGACATTCTCTAAATAAATTTTATTGAAAAAATTGAAATTTATTCAAATCTATTATAATGCATATTTTGAGAGACAGGAAAATATAAAAATGAAAAATTTCATACTCTTCTTCAGTTTTTGTTTTCCTCGGTCGTGCATTATGATAGATGGTTCTAGCTATAGCAGTTAGGGTTATGCACAAGATAAGTCCACCAAAAATTAGTCCAAATGTCATGCCGTCAAGATTATTCACTGAAATTTATATTTAGGTATTTTTTATCAATTTTCTCAAAAGTGAAATAAATACTAAATGAGGTGTAAAACGAGTTCCTTATCGATGTCTTTGTTTCGATTTTCCATATTTAAACAATCAAATGTTGGTACATTTAGATAGGCATGTAATGTTGTAAAGTTGGATACCTTTAGGATCGATGATAGACGACTGGGGTTTGCCATCAGGGGGTACTGAAAAAAAAATCTCTAAGTATTGATAAACTGTATAAGACTATCTTTCACTAAAAATTTGATAATAAGGGGAACCTCTAAGACCCCCCCCCCCCCACACACACACACACACAAACATACACGATTTTAAGTTTTCATTACTATACCTTAGTCACGGAGATCTTTTTAACAAAATAACAAATGTATTTGCCTCAATAAAAAAAATATGTACGCTAACGTAAGAGTACAGTATTGAATGCCATTATTTTTCCTTTGTTAAAACACTAACACTATTCACTATTCATTATGTTTTATAAAAAAGATATATAAGTAAAATGATATGAACCTACAAAGAAAGCATTTGAATCATTCAATTAGGAATAACCACACTTACAAACACAAGTTTCGTTTTGACAAACGGATCCAGTTGGCTCAGAACACTGCTCATGTCGTTGGCAGGTTTCATTTAATTTCAAATTGCCTGAAAACAAGAAATAAATCGTTTTAAGAAATGAATTTAATTTTTGAAAATTCATGAGGCTATGAACTACGACGCTTCACGCCAGCATATTTCATGAAGGGCGTTTTTATATTTGTATTATTTTACTGATGACTTGCCATGCATTTTCACCATCCAACTGTCATTTTTAAAGGAAAACAGTGTGCACTATATTTTTGACGTCAAGTGCAGTATAACGACGTAACACTGGAGAAAGTCATGCTTATTCGTAAAACATTAATATATGTTACGAAGTTCATGTGAAAATGAACCACATTTTGTTTTGTAAAGAATCACAGGAGAAATTTATTGGAAATGTAAATATTATAAATAATCTTATGATATACATGTATAAACATTTCTTGCGTAAGCAATTGATTTCGAAAACAGTTCAAGTACAGTCAAAAAATCAAAATCGTTTCTTTTCTTTTAAAATTAAAAGGTCATGTCTTTCAATGAACTTGCAGTTGTATACCTTTTAAACAATTGTTTCCAAATCCAATATACCCATTTTTGCATACACAAACACCGACTTTTCCTGTCAATAAACATGTCTTGGATACATCTTTACACTCCACAGTCGACGTACACACATGTTTTGCGAGGTGTACTATAAGGAAAATGTTTTTGACAAGAATTAAAAAAGAAAACCGAAATATAAAATAATTCCTATTCATATTAGTAAATTCTTATCATTAACAAAGTCATCTTTATTACAGGATTAATTATTTGATTATTGACCAGTTGCAGCTTGGTTAAAATCTACAATAAAATATTCCAAGAATATTAATGTAATTATATAATGTAAATATATTAATACATAAAAAATCAGAATTAGTTTTGATGAAATTGAAATCCACATTTTTGCTTATTAATAATATCCGTTCTCCGCTGAGTTAGGCTGTCAACTAGTTACTGACTACATTCCAGTCAGTGCTTTCTACTTCAAATATTGTCAATATTGCAAAATACGTCAAGCATCGAATTATGATCTCACTATTAATGAGAATAATCGGTATTTGAGTGTGAAAGTAAAAGAACATTGGTATTTATTTGACGAGATTCATTTAGTTTTAACCTCTGCATAGAATGATGCAGTTTCTTAGCTGCAATAAAAAAATATTTAAATGAACATACATGAAAAGCACTCTGAATCACTAAATTGGACATATCCTGGCCTACAGACACATGTATCGTTCTTACAAACGGAACCAGATGTCACGGAACACTGCTCATTTTGCTTGCATTGGTCTCCCAGTTTCAAATTTCCTACAAAAATATGAAACTAAACTCATGTCGTTATGTAAAGATTGCGATTTTATATTAAAAACTCTAAGTAATAATAATATGGTAATATATGCACGTCTGACGATTATTTACCTTTCAAACATTCGGTTCCAAATTCTATATATTCAGGTTTACATACACATATGCCATACTGTTCTGCCCAAGTTCGGAAACACGTCTTAGAGATATCAGTACATTCCTTCTTTGATGTACACAAATATTTTGAGAGATCTAACCCAGAAAGAGGAAAAATATCTCAAATTCATGCCATTTTTGCCATTACATTCTAAAGGCTTGTTCTGTGTATTAACAACTTCTAAAACTAGGTCAGTTATTGAAAAACAAGTTGAAGCAGAAATTTCGGCAGTCTCGTTTACAATCACCATTTCAAACGTTATATAGTCAATACAGTACCATTTTCGACAACTACAATTTATCATAAAGTCAGTGCTGTCTCTCGTTTTTCATACTTATTTTCCGACTGTTTTGTGCACCCTGAATTACGCATAGCCATTTGACCGGTTGCTGGGGGGATGGACACTCCTCCGTTACATCTGGTCCCGCCTTTGATGTTTAGGAGGTCTGTGTTATCTCTGCACCAAACTTTGCCTTGTTAAATGAACTTTTGGACTTAACGAGGCCTAGTCTATTTCTACCCTTTGGAGTTTTATGAATTTTCCTCAGTTAAATCTTACTGTCATATTTATTGTTTTAAGATTAAAAAATCGAATGTTTACCATCCCGATTTCTTAGGGGTCAATCTCAAAAGTTCTCAAATATTACAATTAGACCCTATAGGAATTTTTTGGAATAGCGCCAAATTATCACATTTTTTCTATATTTTTTTTGTATTTCTTCCCTAGAGATTTTTTTCAGTCAAGTTCATAAAAGCTATTGTAAAATGTCACCAAATAGTGGAATTTCAAAAAAAAAATTTCACCATCTAGTTTCATGTAGGTTTTAAATACAGAGTTAAATTTTTCTATGAATAATACCCCTGAAATCGCCATTTTCGGTATAAATACATATCGATGCAGACGAATTATCGGCGCAAATAATTTTTTGGGTTAAAAAATAGCAGTATTTAGATTGGTAGTATGTTTCTTTTGATGTTCTGTCATCAGTTTTTAGTATAATATCAATGGATATCTTCGAACTTATAAGAGAGTTATGTTTCATTCTTCAGCGTCGTGCATTGCTTATAGAATCGGGAATCAGCGACGTCCTTAGTGCCAATTCAGCCTTTTTACCTAATAATTAGCTTAAAATTACATTTTCAGACCGGTAGGCGTTACGTTAATGTTCATTTTAAATCAAAATCACTATATTATAGAATGGTGTACCGTCGCACTTATGACTGCATGAAAATAAAACGCTGCGCAAAGTCATGGGCACTCGAATTAGACCGCCTCGTTAAATACTATTCGTTATCTCCATATATTGCAATTAAATGGTTTTTCAAACATTTTTGGCTTTCAAAAGGTCAGTAGATTTGCGATCTCATATCAACATTTAATATTCAATTTGAAAGTTGTAATTCCTCAGCTATGTTAAGGACTAATATGGAAAATGTTACCTTTCCACCGTTTTAATATGTATTACTTCTTCTAAAAAGTTTTAACAAAGCAACTGAATACTTGTAGAAAAGGTAATATAGCTATCAATAATGGATAGGACTGGGCCGTAGTTATTACCAGTTATATCGCACGTATCAGCTGTTTGTCACGTGACTTGTATAAAAATAGAATTGTTAAGCTGAATGTAGGAAATGTGGATAGTGCAAGAGCATACTCTTGTTTTTCAAGAAAATAATTGATACACATTAAAAGAGGTTTATATCCTCTACCCAAAAAGTGCTGGGAGCTAGTCAGTGCTGTTTGTAAAGTACTAAAAATTTTGCCGAAAATGCTTATAATAGCTAAAAATTTCCACTTCGCTTAAATTCTGTTATATTGATTGATTGTATATTGTTTAACATCCCTCTCGAGAATATTTCACTCATATGGAGACGTCACCGTATGCCGGTGAAGGGCTTCAAATTTTGACCTTTACTCGGCACTCAGGGCCATTGAGCAGTGAGGGATCTTTATCGTGCCAACGCCTGCCGCGGACACGGGGCCTCGGTTTTTAAGGTCTCATCCGAAGGACCCGCAACTTTCACTTCAAAGTGCCGAGCGCATGACGAAGGAACAGTTGCTACCAATTTTAACGACTAGGTCAGTCGCGGCCGAGATACGAACACACGACCTCCCGATCACGGAGCGAGCGCTCTACCGACTGAGCTACCGTGAACGGTAAATTCTATTATAAATAAAATTAATGTTATGCAGACCAGGATCAGCTCCCAGCACTTTTCAAAATATACACTATATGAGCAATAAATATTCCAAATTTCAGCTCAAACAAAATAGTCTATGCCCTTGCACTTTTGATGTATATCACGAATACGCTCATCGTTTTAGCGATATTCTCTATATTCCTTATCCCTGTGCAGCTTCAATGTTACTAGATAAATTCATATTCTATACACATTGTATTTAATAAATTATTTTCTTTTAGTTTTAATGATTAGGTCTAAAAATTAGCAATGGTATCATATTTATTTAAGCATTCTTGTAATTATTAAACCAGTGAATTTACTCCTCTGAATCACTTGTGCTGCGTCATATCAAGGCTGATGACGTCATATTTGACAAAAGGCTTTCTTCTATTACTCGACTGTATCGCTATCAAGTATTGCAATTTTACAATTTTTTATTTATAATCGATAAAATAGATAAATTCAAGTTGTTATTTACGCATGATCATGTCGTAATTAATTTTTGTAGCTTGTTAAATTTCAATGACGTCACAATTAAACTTCCGATACGATGTGCAAGGAATGTGAACTCTGACCTTCCTTAACATAGCTGAGTCAGTTAGCACCTACTACAACATTTTCAATAAATTATTACATAATTGCATAAGTATTTGATATGTAACACACATAGTTGAAGTCTTTTGAGGCCACAAAATGCACCTTAAGGATGTGTAATTATAAAAGATATTTATTTATACTGAAGAAGTACTTTTTCCGCGTGGTATTAATTTACGCTATGTTCGCGGTCACACATTTTCAGCGGAAATTTTTCCAAGCGTACTTAATATAAATGTAAGGCATATACAGACAGTCTAGGAAATCTGCGTAATTTTCTATCCGCGGATTAAACAGAAATTGAGATTCCGCGGAATTATGACGCCGTGGAAAAAAGTATTTCTATGGTAGCTTTAAATATTTGAAAAGTACACTCGACTTGCTTCAAAGCAATAAGAAATATAATAAAACCTTACAACTATCTAGATCCAATTTGCATATAATTTCCAAATCTGTGCTTGGTCTTGGCCATGAAGTCCAGTTGCATTGACTGGTAACAGTATACATATTAACATCTACGTTTAATCCACTGTAATTAAGACGTATAAATGACAGTCGATACTCAACTCCCTTGTGAAGGTTATACATTTTCACTCGACATGTGTGAGCACAAAAGTTCTCATGATCTATAAAATAAAATAAGGAGAGAAAGACGATAAACATTGTTGTTGGTAAACAACCAATTACATTAATTCTATCAGCTGATTTTAAAGTTATTCAAAAAAAAACTTTTTATACAGATATTGGAAATTAATTCTTAATATAAGACAAAAAAAATGTATTATTAAATTCTTATTTTGTCAAAATGAAACTCGATAAAAAGAAATATAATTAAAAAATAATGTGACAAATTCATTTTTTCATTAACCAGAGCAAAGTATGAATTCGTATATCAAAATTACCTGATTCAAGATGCTTTCTCGCATCCTCTAATGTAAATTTACAGGCGCTTCTACTACTTGAAAACATGAAGGGCGTATTAAGACAAACTTCACTGAAATGTGAAATATAATTGGCATTTAAAAAATAATGATAAATTAAAACTTTTAAATGGATATAATATGGTTTTTTGTGTTATTTTCATTTCTACCTTCAGAATTTATTATTATAGACAATGAAGGCAAATGTAAAGTTAAATAGGATTTATTTTGTTGTTGGCGAACGCGGCCACGGCCTTAGGGCTGCCGGATGATAAATTGGCAAGCCCTAAAATCATTATACATTACATTAAACATTACATTATATGCATTACATTAAATATTATGCCACATAAACAATTTGAGGGCTTATAGTTTTAACCACTGTCCCAATGTGGAGCCCTCCAAGATAACATTATGCATTATTCAAACATTGTGGCATCCATTATTAATGAATATACATTATTCATTATGCATACATTATGTATTTCATCATTAAACATTATTCATTATGCATACATTATGCATTTCATCATTATACATTATGACATTATACATTATTGGCTTTATGATTGAAAAAGATAGACAAAATTATACTCGTACTGGGAACAGATACTCAGTATAATAATGCTATCAAATCTATGAAATATATAATACATATTTTTTAAAAATAAAACAGCACTGTTCTTTTGCTTTTTCCGGCCGTGACGATGGAAAGCTTTTTTTTCCGATTAGATTTCTCTTCTTCAATGAAACAGGAAGATAACAGGCAAATACCAATCACACAGTCAATTCAGCAGCATTTGATGTACATGTATATTGGAAGAATTTAAAACTGCAAAATACAAATAAACTACGGCAGAAAAGGTTAACTTCTGGTTAAAGAAATAATAACATACAAATGATTGCGTACTTCAGAATACCGATGCTAAAAAAAATGATTTCGAATATATGGAGTGGGTGGGTGGGAATTCTGAAAACTGCCCTTACGCACAGCTGATAATATGAAAAGGTTTACAACCGTTGTAGTATAGCGTGACGTAATGAAAGTCCAAAATTATGACGTCACAATGCCCAGGTACAGGAATAATTTTTCTCGCAGTTTTATCGGGTGCAAGTGAACTAATGTTGTCATTGCTATAATAATCTGATTTATTTTGAAGTGAAATAAATTGTATTATTATAGACAATGAAGGCAAATGTAAAGTTAAATAGGATTTATTTTGTTGTTGGCGAACGCGGCCACGGCCTTAGGGCTGCCGGATGATAAATTGGCAAGCCCTAAAATCATTATACATTACATTAAACATTACATTATATGCATTACATTAAATATTATGCCACATAAACAATTTGAGGGCTTATAGTTTTAACCACTGTCCCAATGTGGAGCCCTCCAAGATAACATTATGCATTATTCAAACATTGTGGCATCCATTATTAATGAATATACATTATTCATTATGCATACATTATGTATTTCATCATTAAACATTATTCATTATGCATACATTATGCATTTCATCATACATTATACATTATGACATTATACATTATTGGCTTTATGATTGAAAAAGATAGACAAAATTATACTCGTACTGGGAACAGATACTCAGTATAATAATGCTATCAAATCTATGAAAGCCAAAAGCGTCGCGAAATATCGCCACATGGTTGTTCAAGCAAAGGGAGAACAACCACCGCCAAAAAAAAAAAATTTTTGGAGGATGAGCGACGCTTAAATTGACCGGCACCTACGTTCGCCATTGGAAGAGCAGACTTGTTGCAATTTACTTTGTAAATTATATAGAAAAATGTCATTGCCAAGGTCGGAAAGATGAACACCATCTTTAACAAACAATCCGTTAGCATCCCAAGATATCTCGGGATAACTGATATAAAAACCATTATTAACAACAAACAATTTGCTCATAAAACTGTTAATTCTTTTGACTGCGAGATTTTGAGATTTAACATTCTTACTGTAGCGCCATGAAGATCTGGGAAGAATATGAGACCACCCCATGATAGTATTTGGAAGTTTAGACTGAATCATTTGAAATGTTTCTTTCATCATTAAGCGTAGATCAAGTAAAGGCACATTACCTATATCATTACCACCACAGTGAACAATTAAAACATCAGGTGATGGTTCATACCTTAGTAGTAGCTGAATGCGGGGAAACAGTTTTTTCCAAGTTAGGCCACCCTTGCCCTGCCAAAGGATGTGATAATTAAGACGTCTAAGACCCAAATGAGATTTTTCGGGTGAAAGGCTCGCTCGTTGGAAAGCCCACTTGATAATGGATGAGCCGACTATCCAAACACTTTTTTCTTGCCCTATTGTGATAAAATATATTTCACTGATTTCTAATATAAGTTTTATAAGCATTTGAATACCATCTACCTTTTTTCATGATCTCGGATTCAGAATGGCCTTTTGCAAAACTGTCCGAGGCAGCCCCAATACGGAAGGAGTGGGAAGTGTAATGTGAATTTGAAAGGCCTAAAAGATTTATAGCTTTATTAAGGACTGAAGTAAATTGATAACGAGTAAGCGGACTGCCGTCTATGTGAACAAAAAGGGGGCCATTAGTTTTTGGTCTGATGGACAAATATCTTTGTAAATGAAATAGGGGGCATATAACTGGCATAGGTGACTCGTTCAATTGAATTTTTGAACCATTTCCTGTTTGATCAGTCTTTGAATAAGGGACTGTTAACAATAATATTTTCTTTTTTATTGATTGATCGAAGAAAATTTGTATATCCTTGATGCTGATAACATGATGATTGTCATTTGTTTTATTGCATGTAAATTCCCCGACTCTCAAAAAGGCATGATACGCTAATGAGAATGCAGAGGAAAATAGATATGTTTCAAAATTGGAGGAGCATACTAGACTTGAGCTTGGTATAAGCTTTTCCAAAATTTTTTCCGTAATTGGTAACCTACGATCAACTGACTTACGGGAACGTTTTATACCCTCTAATAATTTTCTAACTAGAAAGCATTGAGTATAATCAGTGGAACCTGTCAACTTGCATTTAAAACTTATACCCGATAAATAAGATGATATTGTGCTGTACGCTAAATCTCGAAGGGACATGTGAGCAATGAAAATACACAAGTGAGATAGGGGAGGACCCCAAATATCTTCTAAACCATATTCATTCCTGAAAGTAGAAAATATCTTTAAACTATTTGAGTACTGTAGTTTCGTGTTAGGGGCAACTGACTTGAGCGTTAAATACTCTATTTCAGCTCTAATATCATCTTCGTGAAATCTTCTGGGATGGGTACAGGATCTTTGTCCGCTTCTGGTGCGAGAGCCCGGAATCTTTCCCACTGTTTTCGGGAAATAGAATCAGCGATAGAATTATTGCAACCACAAATATCTTTAGCTTTAAAATACATATTGTTAACCATTGAATGGAGAACAAGAGGACGCACTAATTCCATTACTCTTTTAGATTTAGATGTCTTCCTATTTAGAATAGATACTAAAGCGATGTTGTCTGTATGAAACATTATTTTTTTATTTTGGAAATGATTTTTGAATAACGCAACTGCCAAAACTATTGGAACTAATTCCAAGAAAGTTATATCCGACATCATGTCTGAATCCTGCCACTTGGTGGGCCACGGAAAATACGCCCAGTGACCTTGTAGATAAACGCCGCAGCCAAGTTGGGAATTTCCTGCGCTGTCCGTATATAAGTGTAGCTCGAAATTTGAAAGCCAATTAATCTCTAAAAAATTGAAAGTGCCGTTGAACTGTTCAATGAAACTTAACCACACTTGTAGGTCGCTCTTCATACCTGCATTCACCCTTATAAAATGAGACGGATGTTTAATCCCACACATGGCATCACAAAAACGACGATTAAAGGCACGAGCTGCAGGAATGGCCTTAGCGCAGAAATTAAGAGACCCTACTAAGGACTGTAGCTCTTTTAATCTTATTTTAGTTTTTCCCAAAATTGTCTCGATCGTTTTCTTAAGTTCAATTGTTTTTTCTTTTGGTATACCTATAACCATTTTTCCTGTGTCAATTTCTATACCTAGAAAAACCAATGAATGCGTGGGACCAACAGTTTTTTCATCTGCCAGCGGAATTCCGAATTCACGACAAGTATTCTGAAAGTTTGACATTAATAATTTACATACTTTGAAATCTTCTGCAGCAAAAATAAAATCGTCGAGGTAATGGTTTAAAGTTTCTATTCCCGTTTTTGTGACAGTTACCCACTGTAAAAAATGAGCAAATTTTTCCCAAAGGGCACAACTTGCCGAACATCCCATAGGTAAACACATATCGTAATAAAACTTGTTATTGAATTTAAAACCAAATAATTCATGATCCGAAGGATGTACTGGTAATAACCGAAATGCGGATTTGACATCCATTTTTGCAAGAAATGAGTTTTTACCTAGTGCTGCAATCATTTCTAAGACTTCATCAAAAGGTGTGTAGTGAACCGTACAATAGTCGGGATCAATAAAATCATTAACACTATTTCCTTCGGGAAATGATAGATGATGTATTAATCGCCAACCCCCGTCCTTTTTAGGAACTATACCTATAGGTGACATTCTAAAATTTTGCAAGGGTACTTGATCAAATGGACCTGCAACACGACCTAATGCAATTTCTTTGTCTATTTTCTGCTTAACTTCGTTCGGGTGTTGCGAAGTTGAAACTAAATTAGTACATGTCGATGAAAAACGGTGACCTGAATATTTGATTTTAAAACCACTATTAAAACCTTCTTTTAATTCAATTGCATCTAAAGTTTTTGGATACATATCCAGGAACAAAACCATATTGTTCACATTAATAGGTGTTGTTCCTGGTTTTCTGATAATTTGATGACTGTGGTTTTTTCCAGAAGCGACGAAAAAGATGAGAGTTCTTTTCATTGTTAGACACTAGGGGTTTGTTTGAATTTTGATTTGTTTCTTGACACTTTGTTGCAGGGTGCTTACCAGTACATTTCAAACAACTGTGACTATATTGACAATAAGGACGGACACAAAAACCTTTGTTATTGAAATCGAAACACGCTTTTTGTTGAAGTGTATTTTGTCTAGGAACACTTGAAGAATTTACATATAAAAGCCACAATTCTTGGTCGATTTTGTTCCAGGGAATACAAGCATTTCTTGCTTTCTTAAGACGAAATTGCATGTCATATTCCCTCCAACCAAAACCTGTTGACCGGCTAGCAGCGGCTTTTACATTTGCCATATATTTAAGCAACTGTTGCGCTTGTTCTGAATGAGCACCCAAGTAAATACTCATGAAAATAAAAAATGCGTCTAGCCATGTTTGAATGTCTAGAATCTTAATTTGACTAACTGGTTTGACAGACAACTGACCATTATTTAGGACCAATTTGTTCTCTTGATCGTTGACTGGATGCCTATCAAGTAAACTGTGCAACTCAATAAATTCTGAAAACTGCCCTTACGCACAGCTGATAATATGAAAAGGTTTACAACCGTTGTAGTATAGCGTGACGTAATGAAAGTCCAAAATTATGACGTCACAATGCCCAGGTACAGGAATAATTTTTCTCGCAGTTTTATCGGGTGCAAGTGAACTAATGTTGTCATTGCTATAATAATCTGATTTATTTTGAAGTGAAATAAATTGTAATATTACTGAATACATGTATTTGTATTTTTATTATTATTTTGTACAACACACATGTGTTCGTTGTTTTTAAAGTGAAAAGCTAGGCTAAAGAGTAATTGGATCAATAGTTAAGAAAGTTAACATGATATGTTTTCCTTTTGTTTATAAATCGTAACATATAGATCAAGGACGGTAACCATAAACACATTCAATCATTTGGACATATATTATGAAACAGAAATCTGTAAAAAAAAAGTTACTTATTAAGATTTTGATTTTTAGAATGTTTTGTTAAATTATTACTTTGATTTTTATTACGTGAGTTTTGGTTTCTTGTTAATAAAATTTCTAAACTTTTTATATATCATGTCTTCCTTTAAGGCCAGCATACAGAGGCTGACTACAAGTTGTTCAGATTTGGACTCTCACTAGCCGAGCGAGTACACTACAAAACAAAAGCAGCACATAACACTATAATATATATATATATATATATATATATATATATATATATATATATATATATATATATATATATATATATATATATATATAAAACTTACTTTTACAGTTGACGACTGACTTTTACAATTTAAATACATACAAACTCCACTTACTAAAATGTAAAAGTCAGCTTTCGAATGTAATAGTAAGTCTCTACATAAAACTCCAGTAATGGACTTTTACGACGAGCGCTGACTTTTACAGTTGACGCTTACTTTTACATTACGGTTATGTATAGTAGCATTAAAGATATAGATATCTAGTTCAACATCTAATTAAACAAAAATAAGGGGATATTTCAGTGCATATAGAAGTTGTCCTTGAAGAAAACGTCAACCACCCTACCCTCAAATCCCGGTCTTTACATGTTAGTGCCCCTAACATCATACCTATGATCACTACAAAGGTTTTCTTATGTATTTTCAATTCTGTACCTCCGTAGATGATACAACTTTTAATGTCCTAGTAAACCGTCAACTGTAGAAATAAGTGCTTCTTGAAAAAGTCCAACCTTAGTTTTCTAAAGAATTTTGACAAAAAAGAAATGCACGGGGAAAAATCAATTAAAAAAACACGTACCATTCATGGTACAATAGACCTAAAACGAACGTTTTATGTTAATGATGGTATATATCTTTATTTAATTTTCAGTGTGATCAAACGAAGTTAATAAAATTGTGGATATAAGACAGAGTGGTATCATCATAGAATAATTGAATCAATAACAAGTGCCACAAGTATCATAAATATCTAATTTAAAATGTCTGAATAGTGACACAAACAAGCACTTGCAAGATGCTGATGTCATGGATCTTTGTCATGCCATGTTATAATGCCGATGTTCTGTTCTATCGAAATATATGTGAAGTGCCAAAAAATTGTTGTGTCATTTGCAACTGTAAAAATAAATGTTTTCAGAACAATCTTTACTAAAGACCCCTTTAACAAAGAAACATTTTTATGCAATGTTAAGTACGTTATTATATGCAATGTCATTCATATCCGCGAAATCAATAGGTTTTGGTTTCATGTCATATGCCACCCCATCATGAGGAGCAATTCATGTAAGCAACTTTTTTTTATAAAATCATCATTTATTTAATATGCAAAAACAACTTAAAACATAATAGCGCCCATGAAAACAAAGTAAAAAACGAATTTTTAGAATTTTTATTCATGACTTTTCCATTTGTTATCAACAAAAAATTCTTTCATCTTGGCACTGGAAAAATAAGGTTTCAATTCTCAATGGGCACACACAGCAACAAATAAATTGACCGGGCTTGTGACTGATAATAATGGTATA